CCTGTCGAGCGATAAGACGAGCGACAATAACCAGATAAGGACGAACGGCGAGCGGCAACAATCAGATGATGACGAACGACCATAATAACTCTATCAGCTTCATCAGTTCTCATATCTGTCATGTCATATAAGTTAGTTCTATTTTATTGGCCATTTTTGGGAAGCTTAAACCTTTTCTGTACTGTTAAATGAAGATTGATTGAGATTAGCTAGGATTGCACAATGAACATTATCCAGGGATAGTTTCTTCCCATTATGGATTGTTTAGATTGCTTGGGCAAGATCCTTAGTTCCATATAACTCATTATAAAAAAAGCTTTTTAATTTGAAATCTAATGATGTAATGGAAAGTTGTAAATAGTATATTAGATAACATGTTTGAGAAGTAATTTTCATTTTTGATTAATGTACTTGATCGGTGCAGCTTCCACCTGAGTTCAACATGCCCAAGTCAGAACTTCAGTGCTATGCAGAGTCAGTATATTCCACAGCATTAGACATCCTAAGCAACCTCAACGGTGGCAACACGCCATTGGATAGACTCATAAATGTTGTAGGATGGACCATTTCTACAGTGCGTCCCTTTTGGGTTGGTGTTGCACCCTACAACCCCACTCTTGGTGAGACTCACCATGTTTCCAAAGGAACCCTCAATGTCTTACTGGAACAGGTACTGTATATATATATATATATATATATATATATATATATATATAGATATATATATATATATATACTCACTGTGTTTTTTCATTCTCACCTTATTATCTTGATCACCCTGTGGCAACAAATCTCCATACACACATGTTTTGTTCTCACAGGTTTCACATCACCCTCCCGTGTCTGCTCTCCATGCAACTGATTATAAGGAGAATATAGAAATTATATGGTGCAACTCTACTGCTCCAAAATTCACTGGTAATTTAACTTCTTCAACGTATATATCTTATTTTGTAAAATAAATGTCAATTTCCATAATAATTGGAATTCTTTGTCTTTCTTAAATTTAGCAATGACTAAAATCTTTGAATTAAAATTAGTAAAGAAATACTTATATGTGCATAACAAAATGAATCATGCAGGTACTTCAGTAGAAGTTCATGTGCATGGCATACGACAGTTGAAGCTCCACAATCATGGAGAGACCTATGAAATGAATTCTCCTAATCTCCTTATCAGAATTTTCCCAGTACCCGGAGTTGATTGGATTGGAAATGTCACTATCCGGTGCATAGAAACAGGCCTCGTGGCAGAATTAAGCTACGTTAGCCAGTCTTTCTTTGGATTTGGGACCAATCGGAGACTGGTTAAAGGGAAAATCTTTGATTCATTATCTAAGAAAATTCTGTATAAAATCGAAGGTCATTGGGAAAGGTAGGTATCCCACTCTGAAGTTTTATTAACTAATTATCTGTATGTGATCAGAAATCAAAACCTACGTACCTTCCTTGCACCTACTTTTTGTGATGTGTCGCTAATCCAATGATTCCCATAAATGGGTTATTGCAGTACTGTAACAGTGAAGAATACAGACAGTGCAGAAGTAAGAGTGATCTATGATGCAAAACAAGTTATATCAGGACTCCAACCTCCTATTGTCAAGGATCCAGAGGTAACAAATATCATATATATTTCACTACTTTATAATGTGATCAGCCTTATCAAGTTACATTGAATTGCCCAGACCTTTAAATAGTTGTGCAGCAGAACTCGTTACAAAGAAAAATAAAACCAAAAACAGAATAATACTGACCGAGTATAATATACTGGCCAAGAACAATATAAATAGAAACATATGCAACAACATATAAAAAAAAATATAAACACTACAACTAAAGAACCCAAACCCAACAACAACAAAAAATAAAATTAAAACAAAATTAGAAACAATCCCAAATTTATTTTTATCATGTATCACGTATATGTAAGAAAATATCATTTTTTAAAATTTTCATGTGGAATAGTTTTCTTACTATGAGATTGTGTTGTACATTGTATATGCAGAGTGTGTGGCCAACGGAAACGGCTCATGTTTGGAGTGAGTTGAGCGAAGCCATCTTAAGCAAAGAGTGGGAAAAAGCAAAAGAAGCAAAGAAAAGTATAGAAGAAAGACAGAGAGAGCTTCGCAGAGAAAGAGAATCAAAGGGAGAAAATTGGGTTCCTAAACACTTTACGGTGTCTTACAGCAAAGAAAAGGGTTGGAACTGTTCCCCAATTGAAAATTCGGTCCCAAATGCCCCTATCATCTCCTTGTAAACATTTTTTATGTTTCGAAACTGTTACCACCTTTTCCGAGAAACAACGTCGTATTGCATCATTTGCATCTGTGTTTTAAAACAAGGTGGTTTGATATTGTGAAAGTCATCTATCCATGGTTGTTATGAAAAGCAATAAGTGAAGCAGACACTGCTTTTGAATTCTTGCCATGAAATCAACAATGAACTGTCCAATTTGGTACAGAAAGAAGAAAAATAATTGAAAGAATAATGTCTGTGTGATGAGATTAGTGTTGGAAATGGGAGAAGATGAAGGCACATGCATGGCACGTGAATATGCAACTTTCACAATGAACGAAGGTGAGGAATTAATGTGAAATATTGAAAATGTGAGATTGAAGAAAGTTCCACGTAGCTTCTATTTCCCATACTAATAAGTTCCACGTGTTCTAAACCCTCTATCAATCAGGTTTCTTTAACAAACTTTACCACATAACACTACTTACTGAAATTAGTTTAAATATAAACTTTTGTAAAAATTCTATTGGACCAATATAAGGTTTTTATTAAGAATTTTAAATTGTAAATGTTTTCATATTGTTTTTCTAAAATTTCATTTTTAACTAATGCGAAGTTAATTTCATTTTTTTTTAATTTTTTTCTTATACAATTTTATGAAAAAATTGTAAAAATATAACCTGAATCAAAGGTTAATGCAATCTTTATTTTTTATATTTTATTAATCTAAAAAAATTTTCATTCTATTTTTTAAAAAGAGATATTTGATTTTCTTAATCTTTTCGAGATCTAGAATTTTAGTCTAAATGTTTAAATTAAGACTTTCGAATAAAAAATATTAATGTCAAAAACACATTCTAACCAATGCTTAGCTACTCCAATTTGTTGTCACAAAAGAACATACTTTTAGGTGAAAGCCAATATTAAAACCATCATCATCACTATATTTAATCAAAAGAAATATGATATCTTCAACTTTATATTTTATAGAATTCACCATATGTATTTAATTATTTCATTTTAAAATTTTATTTATATTTATCATCATCATCTAAATATAATATTTTATTATTAAAAAAAATCAAATAGTTTTCTAGAAAATATGTAGGTGTGAAAATATTATTTTCCTCGAATAAATAAATTTCATGCATCTGTGAAAATTAATAATCTTCTTGGTTAATACCATAATTTAAATGGCTAAATTTTGAATACTCAATAAGTATAACAAAAATAAAAACACAACAAAAATAAATTAAAGAATAACATGCAACAAGAAAAAGATATAGGGACGTCACAATCTAGCATATTGATAAGTCAGGTGAAGATTTATCACAAAGATGTGAATCTTTGATAAAATTGAAAATTCTAATCCAATAACCATAAAAATCCTTTCTAAAAAATGTAAATGTATATATTATGACTCAAAAGTGTCTACATATATATTTGATGTCCTAATATACAGACACAAATGTTTCAAACATCTAAAAAACCATAAAAGAAAGTCCAAAGACATCAGATTCAAAAATAACTTGAAAAATTAAAGACAAAAACAAATTGTCTGCAATTAAAATAAAATTACAACTTATTTAATTTTCTAAATTATTCTTTAATTATGTTCATATTCTTTAAATTACTTTCTTCGTGAAACATTATAAAATTCAAAGAAATGTGTTTTGATATTTTATCTTAGTCATAAATATTTTGAATTGCAAATATTAAAGATAGTTCTCTAGAGTTTAGGGTTTAGGGTTTAGGACTAAATATTTTGAATTGCAAATATTTTGAATTGCAAATATTTTGAATTGCAAATTACTTTCTTTTTTGAGTTCTTCTCGTATATGTTTCAGGAGATAGTTCTCTAGAGTACTCTCTTTATTAAAGAGAATTTGTCCTAAAATTTTTATCACTTAAAGATTTTTTATCATCTATTTTTTTTTTAAACTAAATTTATTTTCTGAATTAGATCAAAGAAACTTAAAATATGAATTAAAAGAATAAGGAGAAAAAAAATATATGTTTCAACATAAATTATCTAACCATAAATAAAAATATCTTTTCTATCGTGAAATTGTATTCCTTAAACCTTACCTACATACTTATTTTAGGACAATATTTATATTTTCTTCATTTATTTGAGAGTCATATATCTCCTACAAGCTAATTCCATGCTAATTTTTTTGAATAGTTTAAAATTAAATATTTTCAAAGAGGAGAGTTTTATTTATTTATATGTTATAAACTATCTTTCTATATAATTTTGATATATGATATCAAATAGATTTTAAATATAACTTAAATTTATGAAATTTAATTTATAAAATAAATTTTATATTTATTTATATACTATATATTATTTTTATTTTTAATTAATAAAGATGTCTAATAAAATTTTCCATTAATAATTGTAGTTCTCAAAAGAAAAAAAATATATATATATATAATTTTATTTTTCTCTGTCCTGATGCATGTAACAGCAAGAAGTTCATCCAATTTTACTGCTCCATGGTAAATCCAATTAATTAATCTTCAACTACCAACTACTACAGTCCTTGTATTAAATGATCAGTCTTTGTATGAACATCCTCTTGATTTATTATTAGGACCCCATTCTAAATTATTCTATTTATTCAATTTATGTTGATAAAATGAGAAAAAGAAAAAGAAAAAATGATGATTATAAAATTCTATTAAATCTTGGCTGGTTTCTGTATTAATTTTCTCTCAGAAAGAACTCAGAGTTCTAGCTTGTTCCACCGAACAAGATCTCCTCTTATGTTCACACACCAACTTTGATAAAAGAAAAGAAAAGTTTCTGTTTCATTTTGCTGTTCGTATCAGTTTAGTTCATCAAGTTTCAGATAAATGGTACGTATATTCTCACTTAATCTCTTTCTATTTTTTTCTCGCATCTCCATAACTTCATATACATTCATATATTCATGCTAAGTTTTTCAAAATTAACAGAACTACACAGTATCCCAATTATATATTATTCATAAATAATAATCAAAACTAACGATATATATACTCAAAATAATCATCTCTTCTTTCTCTCGGGTTTTTTTTTTTCATATCCTTTTCTTAAGTTCGCTAATGGTAGTTGGGTGGGACTTCCGCCATACCTGGATAGAGCAAAATTTATTAAAAACTGTGCTGTGTCACCACAATTTTGAGAAACTAAACCAATTAATTATGTATGAAGATAAAAAAGAAACATCTTCTATTGAAAATGATCTATTAATTGTGACTTCAAATATATCAAAAACTCTATTGAACACTAAAAAATTTACAAACCAGTCTCTTTAAATAATGTTTTGTTTAACAAAGAAAAAATAGACCAAAAGTAAAATTATTCTTCTATTGAGAAGAGAGAAAACAATAGTTGAGAGAAGAGAAATTAATTTTAGTTTAAATCGCCATAATAAGGCAGATGATAAAATTTTCTTAAAAATATTTTGTTTCACTAAATATACCACCTTAATTCATCTATCAAACATGATCCAAAAATAATATTCATGTGCATTTTAACTTATAAAAAATCTATGGAATATTATTGTACAGAGGTTTTAAGAGACTTTAAGACAATCACGGTTATAAAGATAGCGAGTTTTAATTTTAATCTTTAATTGAAAGACATTTTTACTTTTCAATATTAAATATTAATTTCATTTTTAATTAATCTTTAAATTAATTATTTAAGAGAAATTAAATCGTCTTAGCATATATGTTTTAAAAAAATAGATATATTTATTATTGTAATATAAGGAAAAAAAAAACTTAAATTGCAGACACCTATAAGTTTCCAAAACCATCATAAGCTTCCAAAGCCATAGAATTGCAACTTGTCAGACCAAAAAGCATAAAAAGCATGCATTGGGCACATATTTTCAGAAATTCTCTTACACTCCACTTTAATTTTGGCTTGAGCATTAATATTTTGACACCAATACTTCCATCTGACACTCAAATAAATTAATATTTATTAAAATATAATAATTTCTTGAGAAAAAGTGAAAATTTTTAAACTAGGAAAAATTCAATATTCAAGAACTTACTAATATTAACCAAACACTTCAATGTTACATGTATTATTACCGAAGAATTGTATGATAGTTTTACTTTTTTATTAGATATTTTTTTATGGTTGATTTAACATGTTATATACTATTAGTAATTTGAAAAAAAAAATCATCACTCATTAATACATGTCCCACACTTTGGAAGTGTTCAATGTTTCTCTCACTATCTGTCCTTTTTCCGTTCTTATTTGGAGACACCAGTATTTTCATGTTATATTTTTCTTTAATATATTCATAGCCGAATTTAGTTATCATTTTAAAAAGGAAAAAAATATGCTTTACTTTGTTATGTAATTACATGTGATATTTGTTTTGTAACAGAATACCTTTTAAAGTTTACATGAAAATAATGCATTTCTTTGTTTATCTAATTATTGACTAAATTTTTTTTTCTAAATGTTAATTAATATTTAAATCATTTCAATTAAAATAGAAGACTTTATTGAATACTTGTAACTTATTGATAATTTTTTAATAATTAATTTTACGTTGTTTTTAAAATTTTAAGATAATGTATATATTTTTTTCAACTATACTCAATTTCTTTTTTATTACACATAAAAAAATAGTTGGAGAAACAATTAAAAAATATAACAAATAAATTCTTCAAAATTATATTAAAATCTAATTTTTATTTATTTATTTTGGTGAAAAAAACTTATACCGACACAGTGGTTGGACATATTTTATTATGAGATGCAAGTACAAGAAAAGAGTCAAAGATGTAATTATAACATGTATTCACTTCTACAAATTTATTATTTGAGAAGACAGAGAAAAGAGTAACTTCTATGAAATGAAATGAAAATGATAATATTTGTGAGAGATGATTTGAGGAATAAAGGAAAATGAGAGTTTTTTGTGTGTAGAAAAGATTGGAAGGGATGTACGGTTTGCTTTTGATAATCGGTATATGTTTAATCATGTAAAAAGTCAAATTAATCGGTATATTTACATTTCATTAAATTATTAAATTTTCCTTCTTGGTTTGTCCTCAATTTAATTCTATCTTTCTCATTTAAAGTAATGCATTAATTGATGAAATTAGACTATTTCAATTATTTTTCTTTTCAAAAGTTGTACTACCTTTGAATTTGAATACTCCTATAAGCAAAATAAAGGATTTAACTCTTGTGCACTTAAATATTAGTAAGTTTAATTTTTTTAAACTGTATTTAAATGTTATTAATAAAAAATAATTTATCTTTAAACGTAAACATAATTGTCAATAAGTATAACTTGAGGGTTATTCTAAAAAATCTTTATTATGTGAAAATAAGAATATTAAATGAAAGTGATAAATTTGTCTTATAACTAGATACAGAGGTAATAAAATTTCATACAGATTCAAAATAAAAGTTAAAAGATTATTTAACTCGTATCATTCAATACATTTAGTTTTTTCTTTAAACGACTATCCATTAATAGATCTCTTGAAGTAAGTGTGTACGATGAGCTATGCTAAGTTATATTATCTGATGTGATTGCTAAACTTTGATAGAGGCACGTATTAACTGAATAATAATATATTATTGTTGTTGTTGGTTACTCCATGCAAGCACATGACAAGTTTTATACGTGATCCAATGTGAGAAATTATTTGTTACCAAAACCTAAGAAGCTCATTAATGTTTACGAAGACTTTATATTTAACTATGATTTCAACATAGTACCTTCGTGTGGGGTTGGGTTGGGGAACATTCATTTTAATGCATTATTAAGATTGACGTGAACCATATATACACGTCTTCTAATTCTATTACATCGCTTTACAAGTTCACGTTAGCCACTAATTTTAGACTTTTAATTTATATATAAATGGATTTTTTTTTTTGTTTCCATTTCTTCTTTTTAATTTCAATTCTTCAAGTTATTGTTTTATTTCAATTTAATTATCTTTTAAAATGAAATAAATACGAATGACTTACTAAATAAATAAAATCATCTAAAAAATAAATAAAAAATATTTATATTTATTTTTATAATAATAATAATAATTTTATTAAGTCATTTTACTAATTTATACTAATGAAAGTTATTATATCTCTGTAGGAGACAAAAATCGTGCTGTCAAAACCATTAACACTTGAAGGCGAAACAAACTCAGACGAGCATTGCGAAACTCCAAATATTCTGCAACGCATATTAAGTCTCTTCAAGAATATGCGCCAAGGATCTGATCTCTCATGCTTCAAGGCAAGTTTAGGGTTCTACATCACTTCAAAAAACATACAGAAATTAAATGATTAAAAAATAAGATTCATTGATAATTAAAATAAGGATTTAAGTAAAAGAGTCTGTTTGAGGTTGTGTATAGTATGATTATGCTAATTAAATTCATTGATTTGGTAGGAAGTATGAGAGCGTATAGAAGACTATGAATAAAAATAAATTACAATTTTCGAAAGGACTATTTTACCCTTATATATTTTGTTTGTATTATGTAAAGCGAGTGATATAAAAGATTATAAATACAATTTAAATAATTTATTTCATATGAAATTAATAAAATTACAATTTTTTTTGAAATATTTGTTCTCTACTTTTTTATATATTGTTATTCTATTAAATAACCAATTGTTCAATTTTATTTCTTATATATTTATTTGCTTTCATATCATTTCTTATTTATTTTATTTATTTATTTACAATAATATATAAATAATTATCCTTTTCTGTTTTAGTGTACATATTTTATATTTTTGTTTTCTTAATTATATTTTAAAATTACGAAAAAAGTAAATTAATATAATCTATATGCAAAATAACTACACAGTACAAATATTTATATCAAATTTTTTATATAACCATCATTATTTTATTTTACTTTCTTGAAAGATATAAAGTCTCAAAATACTTTCTTTTAGTGTTTATTCTAAACTAAATAAACTCAATAAAAAATATAAGTGTGGAGTTTAAATGAGTAAGTTGACATTCTTAATTAGAGAAATCATTATATATATATATATATATNTAAGTTGTAAGGTTAAGGGTATTTTAATAATCTAAAAAAAAAAAAGAAACCCCCAAACCCTTACTCACCTCTCTCATTCCTCTCAACCCTTTCTCTTTCATTTTTCTCACTCCAATCTTTTCTCTGTCATCCCTACTGTAGCCCCAATTGAAAAAATCAGAAACACCTACTGTAGCCCCAATTGAAAAAATCAGAAACACTTGTCATTAAACAATCTTACAAAAAAATGATTTTATAATGAGTTTTGATCTTATAATTTTTGTCTTATCTAATTTTATCCAATTTTCACAAGCATAAAGGAATTGGTAATTGACTTGGAAAAAATCAGAAATACTTATTGTTAAACAATTTCTTACAAAACATGATTTTATAATGAGTTTTTATTTTATAATTTTTGTCTTATCTAATTTTATCTAATTTTCACAAGCATAATGACATCCTTATGATTTACAAAAATTAAACAATAAAAAATGCTATCATGGAAAAGTAATTTATTTAACAAGTTATGATATTTTATCTTTAAATTATCTTAAAAATAGTTATTTAAATATTATATTTTAAAATTATTTTAAAATCACAAAATTAAGATTTTGTTAACTTGTGTTTTTATAAATAAATTTATTATGTAATTTTTGAAATATAAACTGAAAATTATTTTAAGAGATTGTCTCATAGAGTTTGTGAATTTAACTTAAAAAAACTTAACATTAGTATTTTCATTGATTCGGTGTCAAGCATAAATAAATAGATAAATAGATATATAAGTAGAAATAAAGAAAGAGGTGTATTTTAATATAAAAATGAAAAGTAATCGAAAATGATAGTTGGCTTTGGTTGTTGAATGTGTATTGGACGACAGCTGCCACCTGTGCTGAACATGCCAAAGTCACAACTACAGTGCTATGCAGAATCTATATACTGTACAGCATCAGATTTGTTGAGCAACATTAACAGTGGGAAGACTCCACTAGATAGACTTGTACTCGTTGTGGCATGGACCATTTCTACCACACGCCCTCTAAGCTTTGGAGTTGCACCCTACAATCCCACTCTTGGTGAGACTCATCATGTTTCCAAACGAAACCTCAATCTCTTAATGGAGCAGGTTTCACACCACCCTCCTGTATCTGCCCTCTATGCCACTGATCACAACGAAAACATTGACATCACATGGTGCCACTCTCCGGTTTCAAAGTTCCATGGTATAATTCTTTTTATTATATCACATCTTTTCTTTCTTCATTTTGCTTCAATTCAATGTTCTCTCCAGGTACTTCAATAGAAACTAAGGTGCATGGCAAACGATCGTTGAAGCTTCACAATCACGGAGAGACCTATGAAATGAATTCTCCTAATCTACTTATCAGAATTCTTCCCATCCCTGGGACTGAATGGGTCGGCAATCTCAGTATAAGGTGCCCAGAAACAGGCCTTGTGGCAGAATTAAACTACATGAGCCAATCTTTCTTTGGATTTCGGGCAGGTCGAAGACAGATTAAAGGAAAAATTTATGATTCATTGTCTAAGAAGATTCTACACAAAGTTGAAGGTCATTGGGACAGAACTGTAACCGTAAAAAGTACATCTAACGCTGAAGAAAGAGTGATATATGATGCAAGAGAAGTTATTTCGGGGCTTCAAGCTCCTATTGTGGTGAATCCAGAGGTAAAAACCATGTATTTTTCACTTGCTTGTGTGATCCTTCCTTTATGAAGTCAAGGAAGAATGCTGAGTGGTATGCAGCACTTTCCGTAATTATGATATTAAAAAAAATAATTTAAAGAATTAATCTTTTTTGAATTTGTCTTGCTGAAATTTGAATATGCTGTGTTCCTGAATGAAATTGTGTTGTACATTATCAGAGTGTGTGGCCAACAGAAACAGCCGTTGTTTGGGGTGAGTTAAGCGAAGCCATCTTGAACAAAGACTGGGAGAAAGCAAGAGAAGCAAAGAAAATTGTGGAGGAAAGACAGAGGGAGCTTCTGAGAGAAAGAGAGGCAAAGGGGGAAAATTGGACCCCGAAACACTTCGTGGTGTCTTATAGCAAAGAAGAGGGTTGTTGGAACTGTTCACCCATCAAAAAGCCTGTCCCTCACGCTCCAATTGTCACCTTGTAATTTGCCAGAACTGTATCTGTATGTTTCAGAGCAGTTACCAAAAAAGTTATTCCGCTTTTATCACTAATTCTGTACGTTTTAAAACTCAAAACAGAATCTTATACCATACAAATCATCCATAAATATATCAATATGTTTGTTACGGAGAGCAATAATTCTATCACACTCTCGTTATCTATTCAGAACGATGCACTCATATAAGTTAGCTTTATTGTATCTTATCTCACTTTTAGCTTAAACACAATCTCGATTAGAAATTTACAATATCCGGTGGTGCTCGATAAATAACATGTCCTCGGAGACATTCGTAAGTACGACTCACGAGAATCAGATAAAAAAAAAACTCTAAAATACATTATGCAAGTCCAATTCCCCCCAACACGAATGTTTCGGCAAACCGAAACATCCTTCTCGATCTTTCCAACGATCAGAGCACACCACTCTGCATATGTCTTGGTGTTATCCAACCATCAATAACTTTCTTGCCAATCCGATTCACTCCTCCTATGACATGGCTTCTCTGATATGGAGTCCAAGACAGGTTTCCAAGGTTGTACTTTGCAAGGGCTTCTTCCACCGATGTTCATCTTACCAACACCATATTGCTCTGCCGGACCACCTCTGATAGGACTCGTAGAAGGTGAAGACCAAAGCGTTTGATTTTGGCTCGACAAAGGACTTGCTTTGGCTACTGCGCTGAGTCTCTTTACAAGGGCAGCCAGGTCCACCGGAGAAACATCAGCTTGTAGTACCGAGTATGGCAGCATGAAATACACTTGCCCAGGTTGGAGGTGTGTTTCTCTGGTCATTGATTTTGAGGAAGCGGAAAGAAGCTGGGTGGAAGTGCAAAGAAAGTGTTTTGAAGGGTGCCCAATCACTTGCCTCACTGAAATCGGTTGCTCAAAATCCTCTACATAACCATTCATATGAACCACACGGATATGCTTCAATACGAAGGATGAGTCACAAGAAAAACAAGCCCCCATTCTCAGCTTCTCTCTTGATCAACCACTCCCAATACGCTAATGAAGAACTACTTCTATTAACAGGTATAAATAGTATTATAGTGTTTATGTATGTCTCTCTCTCTCTCTCTGTGTGCAATAAATAAACGGGGATTGACTTTTGATGATTTAAATGGTAAATGGATAAGTGTACGTATGTTGAATCTTTTGGAAACGAAACTGAACCTTTTTCTGACCAAGTTGTTAGTATTATATTAATCAACTTGCTGCATCATTGGCACCAAAGGAGAAATACACATGCAGCCACCAATGTTTTAATTCATAGAATTCGTTTAAATTAATTCAGAAAGCTTACTTACGTTGTTTTCAAGTAACAAAATTTCAAACCTAACCGTGAGAAACATGAAACATGGTCCACGGTCCCCATTGCCTACTTAATTGCTTAATTTGGCGTGTCGTTTTAATTTTTAGGTCTTATCAATGTAAAGTCACCGGCAGATCATTTACTTTAAAATTGTTTTATTTTATCATTTGTAATACGAAAAAATATACAAAATTACTTTAATTTTTTTTTACATTTTAAATTTTTATAACTTAAAAGATATTAATAATCAGAAATATGTTATAGTACTTGTATCTTAGATTTATCCCGTATTAAAGTTGCATTAGGTTGATTAGATTGAAGAGTTGAAACACCCAAATTGCAACCCATATTAATAGTGCATGAAGAGACAAAGTCCAATAATAACGAGACTCTGCCACTTGCCCCAGTTGCAACTCTCTAATCTCTATCTTTTTCTAGTTTTGATAAAATTATTTTCAAGTAAGCTTGTCCCCCACACTTTAAATAATGTCCTTTCAACCTAAACCATTTATCTTAAATACCTGGAATACATGCCAGAACACGCTTTTTCTTTTATTTATTTTGATCCATGTTTACAGTTCTCTCTCTTAAATAAGCCCATATTTTATTCATCCACTAAATATGTTTTAAAAATATTGCAATTACAACCAAATATAAAGATACTAATAAAAGTAATCATCGTGTAAATTAGTGTTCAATATTTTATATTTAATGATGGAGGAAGTGTGTAATTTAACTGTGTCGAACATTTATGTTTAAAAGAATTATAATATATTTTCTTTAATATTATTTTATATCCACTTAACTATTATTTTTAGTATTACTTTTAAGGTTCAGTTTTATATGAACTCACAAGCGTTTAGCTGTTGTGGCGACAATTTATGCAGTGAAAAAACTTGTGTGTATATAAATATGTCGGATCAACAAACATCTCAAAGTTGCGAGCAAAATCAGTCTGTGTTGAAGTGAATTGGGAAGCTGTGGTGGCAAAATAAGTTCAGACTTTGAACTAAAGGGTTTAATAGTTAATTTGAGTTCAAAACATTGGTTTAATTTTATTAATACTCCATTTAATCAAATATTAGTGTGTTGAAGTTGAACAATTATTGTAATGGCTAACTAAATGGCAAGTTAAGTTATAATAAGTTGAATTAAAAAACATAATATATATATATATATATATATATATAAAAAAATATATATATATATATATATATATATATATATATATATATATATATATATATATATATATATATGATAGATGAATAGTGTTACTCACATGACTTTGGAAAAACGTTTTTGTTTTTTTTGAATGTGTTTGTCGTCGTGCGAAGGTGGGCAAGTGTGTGTTTGAGTTGACTTTTATTTATTTAATGTTAGTAGAAAAAGTGCATTCAGAATGCAAAATTCAAACTCGTTTTTTTGTTTGGTTGATTAGTAATAGTAGTTACATTGCTTCTCTGTCTTTTTCTTCCTCAATTCTCAAACCTCAAAATTCTTATCTTCCTTTTTGTGTTGTTTTCATTTGTCAACCTTAGACTACGCTTCCTTTCCGTTACCGTTATTTATCGTTCTTTAGTACCGACTTGGCGGCTCTCCAAAAGGTACATGTTGTTTGCAAGTCATTCAATACAACAGTAAACTTCATTTATGTTTGGCTTAATACCCTATTTTGTCTCTAGTTTCGCTCGACAATGTCAAATTAGTTCATTCTTTAAAACGTGCGTCAATTACGTCTTTACTTAATAAAATTTATATCAATGAAATCTCTTCCGTTAAATCCGTACAAACGGCGTTAATAGAAGAGAGAGAAAAATAATTAACGCCGTTTGTATGGATTTAACGGAAGGGATTTCATTGATATAAATTTTATTAAGTAAGGACGTAATTGACGCACGTTTTAAAGGATGAACTAATTTGACATTGTCGAGTGAAACTGGGGACAAAATAGGGTATTAAGCCTTTATGTTTAAAAAGAATGAGGATTATATTTTGAGTCCACTTAATTGAATCTGGTGTTTTATATTTTTTAATGTAAAAGTATATTTATTTTATAACTAGAAGTAATAATGTCAGAATCATTAAAAATGCACTCAAACCCCTCTGAACGGACGCTAGGTGTCAAGCTGAGGGGAGTAAGAAATCAGATAGTGGAATGCAGGTGTCAGCAGAGGAGCGGACGTTCGTTTTAAACAAAACTGATTTTTCTGAAATTCACATCACACTCTCTGCATGCACTCTTCTTCCTCAAACTCTGGTAATTTCCATTTCTCCTCCTTCTCACTAAAAGTTCCCCCTTCTCTCTACCAAAACTCACCATTTCTCTTCTCCGATCACCGTTCAGGCACCGTAGAAGCATTTTCGGCGTCCTGAGCTTCATTTTGAACCGAACAGTTTCGAGTTCTGAAACTGGTAAGTTTCCTTGTCTTTAGCCGTTCGTTCTCTGGTACATGCAAACCAAGTTTTGGTTGCATGCTGTCGTCTTGTCTGAGCCATTGTTGGTTTTTCTGTTGTTTGGTTTAGATTGAAGAGTTATTGAGTGTCGAGAGTAGAAGATATTTTAGTCAGGCGAACCGTATTCTATCTAGGACGTTCATTCACGCTCAGAGGTAAGAGAAGCTTATTAATTTAATTTGTATGATTATGTGTTGCATGAACGTTCGTTGACTTGATTGGATATGAAACATGATTGTGCTATGTTATGATGCATGAAATATATGAAATTTCTATGTTTGGATGGTATGAAATATGAAAATTGATTATGATATGAATGTATAAAGTTATGAAACTATATGTTAAGAAATGAGTTGAAATATAAATAATTCTGGTATGAAATTTCCCCTATGAAAGGGTGTGTTCGTCACTGAACGGTCATTGACTGTTCGGTATTTTTAGTAATCTTGGTTAGAATTGGATTCTTTCATTTGGGAAGAATCCTAGTTGAGGACGAGCATCTTCGTGTGGTAATAATGTGCTTGAGCGTTCGGCCAAGCGTAGTTGCAGCTGAGTATTCGGTGAATAAACTTAAATTTTGTAAATATATGTATTTGTATATTTTAGTTATTCTTAAACACAATTCCAATTGTATATTTTATATTATATTTAGTAAGCTTTCTATTATAAGTTTAGTAGTGCTCGGTCTCACACCAAGCTCTCGAAATGAGTAGTGCTCGGTCTTATACCAAGCGCTTGTACTCGTTTATGGTATGATCTATCTTGATGAAAATAGCGTTCGTCCAACTTCAGTAGAATTTCCCTCTACCGTGTTCGGTCATTGACTGGCATTTGGTTTCTTTTTTTGTATGTGAATTCTTCTAAGTATGGTTCTTTAAACGTCTTGACGTGTCTACATTCACTGGTTCCGGCCTAGAGCCTTAGTACTTGACATGTTCTTTGAAGTGTTGGTTTGAGCTCACGAGAGTCAGTTCATTTAACTGATTCATGTTGTAAGTAACGTTCGTTCTTGTGGTATATAATTGTACTCGGTTTCTTTCTCAATCTGACAATAACCCTCTCGGTCTTATTCTATTCTGGAAAGGGAGACTTCTCTATCTCGTTCCAAATGTTCGTTCTCGTTCTGAGTGAGGATTTAACGTTCGGTATTGGGTGTCCTTAAGAATCCTTGAACAAAGGTGGAATTTAACTGATTGGTAATGAAAGATGAATTTGAGAAGATTAATAACGAAAGATGAAGAAAATATGAGATGAATGAAATGTTGTGGATTGAACGAGCGTTCCAGGGAGGAACGACTCATGGATGATTATTGAATTTGTAAAGTATGACTGTAGGCATGCTAAGCTGGCGGTTCATCCTGATGTTCCGTGAGTACTC